TCCCTCCCTTTAATGTCTCACTTTTAATTTCAAATACTTTTCCTTTCCTCAGTCTCTCTTCAATGTCAGCTGCTAGTGCATTCTCTTTCAGCCTCTTAAGAGCACTAATGACATCAGTCCATGTACCAGGTGGATATACCCCAGTCCATTTACTCCACAGTCCCATCTTCCTACTCTCCACTCCAGTCTTGTCCTCTTCAATCTTATCAATGTCCTTTTGTTTTATTCCTGGTAAGTACAGTCCAAAGGTTCGCCATTTTGTTAATGGTTCCAGCCATTCAGCCCACAGGTCTTCTCTAGGACTGGAATCAAGAGGAGGAGGTGGGGTTGAAGAGGAGGCCATTTTGTGTTGTGAAGTGTGTGGGTGTTGGGGATTTTCCCTTTTATACATGTTATATTGTAGTATGCAATTAATCAACAATAATTATTGTTAACAAAACCAAATAATATCTATACTGCTATGTAGATATACAGTACACTATAATCACTAGTTACCATTATAATTATTCTATTTAGCAAAGAAAGCCTTGTAATTATATTGACTTTAGTCTACTTTGCTACTTTTGGAAGTTGTACATAGTTCTTCATCAGCTTTTCTTTTCAATGTTTTGTTTCCTAAACATATACAAGATACATTAATAACAATTAATATCATTTCACTCACTGATGTAATCAGCTGTTGAGTTTTGATCACATTCTTCAAGAGCTTTAATTAATGTGCTCCATTTTGCTCCTCCTTTATCATTTACATCATCAGCATTCTCCAACCATTTCACCAGACACTCTCTAACACACCCATTAGTATCTCTTGGATAATCCATCTCAATAGTTTTTAATGTGTCATTATATAAACCCAAACCAAGGCCAAAATTAGTACATTCAGAATTTGAAAATTTACCCTCTTTAAGCAACATTCGTACATCATGCAAATGTGTTGTGTTCAAAAGAACATCTTCTTTTATACCTGTAATTATTACCATACATTATTACTGTAAAAGTTAAATTTACCTGCTGAACTAGAGTCAGATTCAAGACCAAACCAGCACCAATAAGTCTCATCATTTTCACTGACATCATTTTCATTTGAATGCCACAATAGGCAATCTGCTACCTTGTTCTCTTCATCCACTATACAATAGCAATGTTCCTTCCCATTAGGGCAAGGAAATGCAATTGCATGATTCCGTTTAGCATTAATGGCATCAGAGCTTTTATTAATGATTGTGGTAATTAGCTCACGGACTTGTGGACAATAACAGTTCTTAGGACCATTAAAATAGACTTCAATATGTTCATAACGATTAATGATGTATAGTGTGCAACGTTTTCCTTTAATCCAGATCCAAAGTGAAACAGCATCACGATACTTGCAGTGTTGCTGAGGAAGTTGAACTTTGTATTTTGTCTGCTCAAGCAAATAGACATAAATTAAGGGAAAAATTCCTTGAGGAACAAGGACAAAATTTTTTGATTCCCATTCATCTTCTGCCATTTCTAGCCACACATAATAAAGAGGCTTTATACTCTTAGGTAGATCATTATCATATTCATTATTGTAGGCAGGTAAAGCAGCAGGAAGGAAGTAGCTACTATCCTGGGACTGGCTTTTTAATTCTGTAATAATATGAAGATGTTGAAGCAAGTTAATAAAGTAATCTGGTGTGAAATCATTTGAGAATACACCACAAAACTTTTCAAGAAGAGCTTTCTTAAAACAGCCTTTTTCTTTAAGACGTGTCTGTTCATCCTGCAACAAATTTGGTACCAGTTTTGTTGCTGGTATTGGATAACTGACATAAGTGAGAGCTAACAAATGTGAAAGAACGTCAATGATTTTCTGAGGACCAATAAACACTAATTGTGGTTGGATTTCAGGGTAGTATAAAATAATTGTGCTATTGTGAAGAAAGGTTAAAGCTATTTCAACATCATGTTCATTCATGTAAAGATATCTTTTACAATCTTTAATAGCTTCTGTTTTAGTAACAAAACCTTTACTTTGTGCCTTTTCTTCTAGGTAAAGCTCAAACACAAAGCAACGCATTGGAAGTTCGATTTCAATAGTAACTTCTGTACATTTTGACATTTTCTCTAAAATTTCTTCGCTAATTTTTTTTCTCTTGTCAGAATCCTCTTCCATTGTATTAACTGGATATATGATGGAATTTTTATGTACGTTAGTAATAATATGTTTTCTTAAATGGGGCACTGCAGACATCAAATTACTATTCATCTCCTTCACTTCTTCCATAGGATCATTTTTGTCGGCTCTTTCAAACATAACATCATAATGAGTACCCAGGACAAAAGACATTGAGTGTTTAGACTGATGCTTCACAAATGGAATATTAATTGGTTTTTGAACTGATGCTGATGAAACAACAGAATTGAAAATTTTACGATTTGTATATTTCACTCCCCCATCACATGGAAATTCTCGTCCATTAATTCGATACATAAACTCAAACTCCTCATCAATGCCTTTTGAAATATCAAGTGTGATGATATTAAGAGATGCTGCTCTAATAAAAACAGGCAATAGCTCTTGGTATGCTGGTTGACCACCAGAATCAACAATGTACACCCACTTCTCACTTAACTGCATAGCTTCTTTTTTAGAAATATAATCAGCAATTTTTTAAAATACACTCTTAATCTCCAGTGTTTCTTCTTGCTGAGTTTCTTTTGCATTTTCTAATACTTCTGGATCAAAGGATGAATGCTTTGAATCAGGTTTTGAATCAGTTTGCTCTTCATTCCCAGAATCAGAGTATTCTTCATGTGTTTCATTTAATTGTTCCTTTTGTATGGCATCCTTGGATTCATTCAAATGTGGCTGAATTTGTTGAGTGGCATTATCTACAGCTTCTTTTAAACTTGATGCTAACTGCTCTGACAATTTTTCTGCAGTAATTTTGTTCCATGTCTCTTTACCATCAAAAGCTATTCTTAGAGCTTTGACAGCTTTACAAGCTATTGGTGTACTGTCAGTGGTATGTTTAGAGGCTAGAGTGAAGCCAGAATCACCAGGTGGTGAGCTAGTGGTGGATGGGGCATTGGTGTGTGAATCAAATTTTGATGTTGTGGCTGGAGGGTCTTCATTGAGTAGAAGACATTGTGTACAAGTTTTCCCAGATCCAGCAGGACCAACCATATGTACACGAGTAAGTGTCAGCTCCATAATACCTTCTTTACACCACTTTTCTAGAATACCTATTGCAATAGTCTACAGTGATTCACAGCCATTAATTTCATTGATGCTTCCATGAGCCATACAATTTACAATTAAAGGAATTCTTTAAACAAAGCAAAATAGAAAGTTTACTAACATTTAACACAGGCCTATGAACAAGCAAGATATTTTTTATTTATAAGCCATGTATGTTGCTTCATATGTGTGCAATTGAGACTATATTTGCTAATTACTCTTAATATAATATCTAACCTGATTTTTTCAGATCTTCAACATGAACTATTTTCTCTTCTACAAAAAAACAAATATTAATAATCCATAAAAAAAATTTTATCACAAAAATTCCTTAATAGAAATTTTTGCTATGAAGTAACATAATATATTATCACTTCATCTCTACTTACTACTTACATGTGTATCTGCATGTATTGTAAATATTAATGTTCTTAAAATGTCTTAATTCTTATACTTGTACATACTTCATAGTTATAGATAAATTACATATTATGCATCATCCTTACCATAATTAATTGCCAATGGGTCAGCCTTACTATGTTGATCCTTCAAGCATTTTAGGACAAACCTTGCAGACGAGACAGCTCCAAATGGTTTCCAGTTTTTGTTTTTGTCTTCATTCCCCCAGTCCACAATAGATTTTATTATGATCCATTCAAATCCTCCTTCTCTCTCAGCAACCCGATTTATACCATTTGCTTCCATTTCTCCTCCAAGCGCTTGTGGTATATGTTTGAATACTTCCTGCTTTTTTTCTTCACTGCGATATAGTGTGAATTCGGAGGCTAAGACACCAACATTCACTTTGACTACTTTATTCTGAATTTGAAAGACTTTGTTGTATTGGAACATTTCACAAAGATTCTTTCCACATGGGTATGTGTTACTTAAAATGATTGTATCTTTTCCTTCAATACGCTTATGTGTAGTGTCGGCAATACTTTTGGCAACAATAATGTCTTTTATCACCAAGTACTTTTGTTTTGCTCTCCTTTGCTCCATAGCATATCCCAATAGCAATGACATACTTAGCTTTCACTACCCTTTGTACTAAAGTAAGAACTCTATCGGTTTTATCTGGACCCTGGCCTGTGCTTATTATTGCAACATTACATGGCCCAAATTTCCCCAGGATAAATCTTGCTGATTTATCTTCTATGACAACTCTAATATATTTACCATCACCTCCAGGAGAATCAGTTGAACCCATCACAGCACAGTATTCTATAGGTGTGGCGGTCACCAGAATGTAACTGACTTTTTCTATTAACTCTTTCTCTTCTTTGGTCAGCTTTGAAAGTTTTTTCATCAAAATTTTTTTCTCAATATCCTCCAATCTTGGGCAATATTTGCTGACATCTGGAGGTGGATCTATAATGCATGTTACTATTAGAAATATTTTAAAATAAATTATTTCTGATCATACTTTGGTCATCACTTTTACTTTCTCCTGGGCCAGTTGCTGCATTATCAAGTGGCTCTCTGTAAATACAACAACAGATTCATTAATTGGAGTCAGTAAAGGATATTTACTTTGAATCAATCTTTTCACTTGCTTGTTTTGCTCCATTGGTTTCTGCTGAAATTAATTTATCATTATCAAGTTTCACCACATGTTTACCTGTTATAGGATTTGCACTACCGTCAGTGGCTTCCATATCTTCATTAGAATTCCTTGCTGTGGGATCTGTCACTTTGTCTTCAATAGTTGTAGCTAGTTCATTCTCTTTACATTGTTTCAAAGCATTAATGACATCTCTCCATGATGCTGTAGGATTAACTTGTAACCATCTCTTATGTAAAGCCATTTTCATGAGGTGAGCATTTTTTTTCTTTTTATAAATTATATTGACATCAGATTGTGTTATTTGAGGAAGACAAAGAGCAAATGGTTTCCAGTCAACAAGTGGTTTAAGACACTTTGCAAATAAGAGACAAGATGGTTGATCATCAATCATAGGACCAGGATTGAGTTCAACATCTCCTGATAAGAGGAGGAGAAGTAAAACCAAATAGTAGATCAGGTCAGAGCTACTGCCAATAGTAGCTGTAAACAAGACTAATGACTGGAGGCAGTGGATCATAATAGAAACAGTAATTATACCTATAGTAAATACACTGTATGATAATATTATATACTGTTAGTTTGTTTACCAGTTGGAGGAATAAAATTGAGCTTCATATATTTTAATAAAGATAAAAGAAGTGAAACAATAAGAGACAGAGCTGCTGGCAGTTTAGATGTCTTCTCTCCTGATGTAGTACTGCCTGACTTGCTGTCTACTGCAGCTTTGAATGAGCGAAAGTGGCGGCCATTAGCTGGTCTACTGGAGGCAGGTTGACAGTAGTTCCACAGTCTAATACTTGCTCTCCATTGAGAGACATCAATCATCTTGTATAAGGGACAACAATAAAATCTTAATTCTCCTCACTTAGGCACTTGCTATTTTGCTAAAATAATAACTTCAGTCGAGACTTAGATCTATATACTGTGTCTATTTGTATTCTACATATGAGGTATAGATCATGACTGGAGGGATGGGTTGTGGTTTGCACAAAACTTAGTATATGGTAATGCCTGCAGATTATGCATTCATGTGTATATAGCAAAGGTACATTATTTCAGTATTATGTAGTGAAGTATATAGATCTAATTCCTCACTGTAGTGTTAATACTTTATGAATAAGAAAATACATTCTTCAAAAGGTCAGCTATTTTTACATGCTCAGTGGATCAAGCACTAAAAAAACTAGATCTGTAGTCTTAGTAAGTGTTCAAATCAGTAATAAAACCATCATCTACTATTTTATAAATATAATCATGACAGAGATACTGAAGTGAGAGAGTGCATTAGGGGGAAAAAGAAAAGGCCATACATGAAAGACACCTGTTTACAGTTAGAATCTATGTACACAGTTATGAGTAAAGAGGAGGGAATAGTTATCTTAATACTTATCCTAACTATGCCCTCTTAATCTTTCTTAAAGGTCACTGACATGTTTTCTGCTTTTCTTCTTTACTGTGATACCATGTGGACTAAGAAACTAACGTGAACTTGGACACTAATATGAACTTTAACTGGCTTGCTTTTGATTTCAAAGACTTTGTAATGTATAAATTAATTCGTTATACATGATATCCTTAGTATCACACTTAAACATACATGTATGTTTTAAATGATACATATTCTGTATAATGTACTATGGATATAAATAGTTTCACCTCCATTACTTAATACATTATGAATACAATAATAGTAATTGTTTCAATAATGATAATATTCATACTATTTGTTCAAAAGGTCGCCTATTGAATATGATCAGATGAAGCACTCTATCTACACAACGTCATATTCAGACTGCTATAGTGTACATAAGAGGACTAGAGGAGGAATAGTTTGTACATATTCCTTTACTATGCGAACTTTTATTATTTCCTTCCTTAATTCAATTACATTTGCCTAACAGTTGGGCTCCTGCTCATTACTAATACATTTATTGTACATCTTATGTCTAATCCTAGCATTGATGTTATATCATAGCAATGAGTTCACTGTCATCATTATAATGTGTGCCATATGTTAAGAATTTTATTGCTTTTTATGAGTAAGACAGAGAGTGAATGAGAGATGGGAGGGAAAGAAATAGAGAGGGTGAGCCATAAAGTGATAGAAAGGGGAGGAAATGTGATATACTTGTTTACCATTATGTACACAGTTCCCAGTAAAGAGGGAGTGGATAGTTTGTATAGCTTTATCACATACCTATAACTTCTTAGTCCTCCTACACAGATGTATTTTTATATATTTTATACAAATGTATTTTATATATTTCCCATACTGTATGATTGTGGTATTAAACTGACAGGTGTTTGGTGCAGCATGAGTACTATAATCAAATTTATGAAACCATGGTGGTCTAGCTCCTATACTGTCCTACAACTTTCCATTCACTGTGCTTAAATTACAAGTATTTTCATTCTACTCTTTTATATGGTTCTCTCTCTTCTCCCAATTCTTTCTCATATACTCTCACTCATTCATGCACATAATACTGAATGACTTACAGGCTTTATAGCTAGGACATTTTTGTTGCAAGGAAAAGGTAGATTTAGGAGGAATAGAGAGATATACCTGACATGTTTATGGCTATGTACTACCAGGATGCACAGTTCTGTAAAGAGGAAAGAGATGCACATAAATATAGAAACTATTCTTAATGTTAATGTTAGAAACTGCTTAATGTACATATACTCTATGTATGTGTTATACTCTCATTGGTCTTATGGCATTACATACAGTGCTCAATAATACA